GACGGGACACAATTTTTTTCTGTGGGAGTGGGACGGGACAGGAGTGAAAATCCACTCCAGTGTCAGTCTCTATAACCCAGGGGTGGGCGATTTCAGTTCCTGAGGCCTGGTATATCCCGCAACTTTTAGATTTGTCCTTGGTCCAACACACCTGAATCAACTGGCTGAAAAACCTCCTCAGTAGGCTTAAAGTTCATCCAAAGTCCTCCTAATCATCTAATTACTTGATTCCAGTGTGCTCGACCAAAAAAACATCTCAAAACTGCAGGAACAGGAACATTCTGGGGGGCCGATTCTCAAAGCCGATATTCCTTTTTCTTCCTCCACTTACATGAGAAAAAAAGAAACTTTGATTAGCAAATCAAAACAAACCTTTTACAATTTTTGGCAAGTGGATGGAGTGGAAATGCATGGCTGCTAGACTAACTCATAAAGTTTAATCTGAAAGCTCCCGATTTCCCAGCAGAAGGAAGCGTTCTACTACGACGGCCTCTGTATCTGTTTATAACCTCTGCCTTTGGTTTCAACCTCAGGCACAAAAGCCAGATTCAGGGACAGACGATGCTGCTGACCATACATGGTGAAACTCACGTCTCAGTGCTTCCTCTCATCCAGCAGCCCTTTCTCTCACTGGAGAAACTGAGGAAGGCTGCAAACAGCCAGGGTTGGTTGTTTATTTTCGTTAAGCCTGTAAAACACAGAAGGAAACATGAGTGACAAATAATAACTCAGTTATTTGACAGTTAGTTAACAAATGTTAATTCTTTAGATAGATCCAGACACCTAAACTGGTTCTGTCTTTCAGCGCAAAACTGAATAGATTCGGCGTTAAACAAGCTTTAGCTCAGTCATTAGGCTGCAGAACTGGACTAAAAATGGAGGCATGAATAATTTCTTTATGGGGACGGAGCAGCTGTGGCCCTTTCACATGAAAATGAGCCTCAGACAGAAACACACACAGTGACGTAGCAAGCGTCTCGCACCATCGTTACTTCCTCCGCTTGTTACAGATGCTCTCAATGGGGCAAACAATGAGAAAATAACATTTCACAGATAGCTTTGCTCTAAAAAACTAACTTCCACTTTTCACTTTGGTTTGCCTAGAGTGCAACCACAGCATTAAACTCTTGTTTTTTTTATTCCCACAGGAATAATCATGTTATTAAGAATAAATAACTTCATTCTTTATTGATTCCTAATGAGAACAATCATTTAATTAAGTATTATTATTTTTTTTAAATCTACGTTTCATTTACTTCTTGGATTTGCACCATTGAATTATGATATATTTTTTTATTTCGGTCGATATAATTCCGATATATATATAAACCACATCAAAGCCTCAAAATTCTAAACAAACCTGTCAACATTTTTATGCCAAATCCATGAAACTCGTCCAACATAAAATTTTAGAAACTATTGTAAAAATAAACAACATTTCTTATATATATATATATAATTATAAAAGCAAACTTTTTTTCTTTTTGTGTTTATATTTTTCACGTTTGCAATATAGTTATTGATAATAGGACATAATCTCATGAATTAGTTAGTTTGGTTGAGCATTTAAATTTCCAGTTTAATTAAACATGAAATAACATAAATGCACACAAGTGCACAACAAAGTAATTTGAGTTTCACATCACAGACATTGGTCCCTTGAATGTTTTGTGGAAGTGCTTCATTAAATGCTCCACCAGGTAACTCGATATTTGCAGATTGTATTTCATTTGTCCTTTAATTATTGGGTTACAGAAAATTCAAACAGAAGTGGATAGAAGCTGCGTTACTATCAGTGTGCTTTTAAAATAAATTTCAGATGGCTGATAGTGGGCTGATTTCCAATATGGATATTGGATTGGTACATCCCTATCTATAACCTATCAAAACCAGAGAGTAAACCTATCAAAACTCAAAAAGGGAAAGAAAAATATAAGTCCCTTATGTCTCTGTACTATTAACCTCAGAAATAATTATTTTAATATAAGCTACAGCATTTACTTCTGCCATAAACCTTGGATTCTCTCTGTTATTCTGTGTTCACAGTGTTTGTTCCTTAATAGGAATGATTGATTAAACTACTGCTACCACTACCTTCATCTACTCTGCTTCTACTTGTTTTCAATAAACAGTACTTCTGGGTCTGTGCTTCAAAATGTAACTGTGTTTTGTCTGGTCATAGCCTTACATGAGCTAATGGTATTTTGCTACTATAGGCTTAGGGTGCTGGAGGACCAGCTTTTCCTCACTCTGCTACATACTTTGGGTGTATGTTGTATGTACATATGCATGTGTAAAAAAACAAAACAAAAAAAAAAACAGAGAGAAGATGTGGAAAGTAAGCGCAGCAGTGGTGCCAGTGCTAATTGGAGCACTGGGGGCTGAGACCCCCAAACTGGGAGAGTGGCTACAGCATATTCCAGGTAAAACATCAGAGGTCTCTGTCCAGAAGAGTGCAGTCTTAGGAACAGCTAAGATACTGCGCTTAACCCTCAGACTCCCAGGCCTCTGGTAGAGGACCCGAGCTTGAGGATGACACATACAGTACCACCCCACGTGAGGTGAGAAAATAGTTAGTTTATATAATATATGAATGGATGAATGGAGTTATTGAGGGAGCGATTGACTGAGCTACAGTATAGCTGCCTGTCCTGAAGAAAGTACATATGCACAATGACGATTATATTAGTCAATTCAATAACATGCTGCTGTTCTCTGATATTGCTTCTACTTTTCAAATATCCATTGATCTAAAAAATGTCCATAGCTGTACATTGGTTATTTATTCTCCAGGTGCATAGTATTTATATTGTTAAAACACTTTACAGCACAGTTTTTTATAATTTATATTTTAACTCTTCACTATTATGTTTTTCTCACACACTTTTCTAAAGGTCCACATTTGTGTGATCATTATTTTCTATAATCTTTCTGCTGCTGTGAACACCAGAATTTCCCCATTGCGGGACAATAAGGGGAATTTCTATTCTATTCTATTCTATTCTATTCTATTCTATTCTATTCTATTCTATTCTATTCTATTCTATCATAAAACAAAATATTTATTGTGTAAACAAAATAATTTAATCAATGATGATTAAAAACTGTGTTAATTGTAAGAAATTATATTTTTATTGTTACTTTTATTTTTTTCCATTGGGTTACTGACAAATTTGAAGAATATGATTAAATGTTGTTACCAAGAGATGTTTAGTGATATAAATCCTACTTCTTGGTGTAACTGATGTCTTGAAGAAGCTAATATAAGTGTGTATATTCCTAAAGTGTAATATTTCTGATGGTGGATCTATGACTGCTGTTGTAAGCAATCACAGCTATACAGTAGGGATGCACGATATAATCG